CCCCCCACGCCCCCCCCCCCCCCGGTATGTACCACAGGTTGATCGTGCTTGATTTCCATCGAGGCATCGAGGCTTACGCTCCAATCAGATTCAATCATGGACCCAGAACATGAGCATATGTCCATTGCCAGAGCCGAACAGACGAGCGCTTCACCATAATTCCGCACGACACCGACATCCCCGCCCACGTTTCGACTCCAATCGATCTCCACCTTTACCTACCGCTCGTATGCTTCATTCACTACATCAGTCCTGCACGCTCCCTGCCCGTTCTGCCTTATCGCTTCGTCCTTGGCGCAGCACCCGAGCGAAGATCGCACAGACTGAACCCCCATCACGACATTGCCCATCGAAACCGCGATCTCGATCCCAGCAGGTGCTGGGCCATGATGGCCGCTCCGGAGGAAACGCTCCCGCTGAGGGTGAGCGTCAACGGTGACGGTCCCGGGAACCACGACGGGCACCACGGGAAGAAGGTGGCCCTGGGAGCGACCGTCGTCTACCTTTTGGTCTTCGCGTTGATATGTTTCCCAGCCGTGGTCCCCCTGTGGCACCCCACCTACTACGCCGAGCTTGGTACCGAGCAGAGGGGTTGGACCTGGCTCGGCGCCAACGCCCTCTGGCTCGCGCTGGCCCTGCTGTGGATCCTCCTGCACCTGGACAACGGGCCGTGCGTCGCCACAGCCTGCCTCCTCTGCTCCGTCCTATGGTTCTACCTCAGCCTCGTGCTCCTCTCCCAGGCGTGTAGGGGGCAGTTGCCGCTCATGGCCATCGCGGACGCGCTCGTGCACTTGACCATGCTGGTCGTGTGCTTCCGGGCGGCCTGGGTAGGCGTGGCCAAGAAGTCGCAGAAGGCGAGGTCCGATGGCAGCTCCACGTGGAGACGGGTGCTTCGAAAGTGGGCGCTGGTGTCCGCTAGCGCCACTCTTTTCGTGAGTTTTGTTGACGTTTCTAGACGCACCAGGTTTCATCGCCAAGGGGATGCCGTTGTTGTTGTCGTAGCCTTCCTTCACAGGACCAGGTGGTTCTGACCATTACTCAGTCCCGTTTATCATTCGGTCTTTTCCACCTGACGAGGACCCCTTCCGTGGTCACAGGCTACACTACCCAACAAGGGTTCGTGTATCAACAGTCGAAGACGTGAATGATGGAACCAGAATATCCACACAGATGCGATAGCCTAAACGAAGATTTAGGCCCCAAGAAGTCACCGACGTCGCAGGCGGCATGTGGGACATACGACAATATATACGTGTGTCATCAGCCGCTGAGCATGGGCGCCATAGGGTAATATCAAACTATGCAACCTGGTCCATTGGCAGCATCGAGGCATTACTGTTTCCGCATGAGCGTTACGATGCTTGTTGTCCTCCGGGAGTAAACCAGCTTGTGTGTTGCGCCTTCCAAACAGAGTTACAAGCGCGGTGCCGCATACACCAACAGTCGAAAATTTCAATCTGAAGGGATCTTAGAGCAATGTTTTCGGATTTAATTGGCTCGGGACTTTTTCCCACTGCAGTCGTCGTTAGGCTTTGTTGTAAACGGGATCAGTGGCGAGGATCGCCTTCTAGGCACAGGATGCGAATAGCTGAACGGTCGATATCTGCGGGGGATCAGGTTTTCGACTTTGTAGTCGCTATGTTTCTGCCTACCTCTGAGCTTACGTGGGGCGGTTGTCGCATCGCTGCTCGTCGTGGTACTCATCCGGTTGAGTTGCACGTAATCCATCAAAAGGCTTTGGCACTCGTGTAACGCTCCCATCGTGTCTCCCTGAACAGGCCGCTTTCCTGGGATGCTGCTCGAGCAATCTTCCGCTGATCCCGCCGGTTTCGCGGAGAGAGTCAGCCCCCTGGGAATGGAACTCCGCCATACTCTTCGTCATGACCCTGGCGGTTCTCTGGGCGGCGTTCCTCACGCGGGGCGGGCTCGTTGACGAGACGAAGCGGGCAGCGTGCGCCTGGATTGCCCTATCCTTTTCCGGCAGCTTCGTGCTGTGCTCATTCTCCTGGCAAGCGCTTGGGCTGGACGCGCGCAGCGTTGCCACGTCGGTGGTTCTTGCCGTAGAAACCGCCGTCCTGGCGGTGGCCGCTGTGGTTTGACCGTAAACAAGGAGGAGTCAGCGTGCAAAAAGTGATGGTGGTACATACATGATGTACTTCGAAGCATTGAGCCCGCGATGGAAGGGTGCCACGTTTGGCACGTAACCGAGGTGTTGGTGTCGACGATCGTTCTTACCGTTAGGCGAAGGCGAGCTGCTGGGGTAGTTTGTTCCCGGTAAAGCACTAGCCCACGCCGTGTGATGTATAGAACCCCAGGCGGGTGTCGTTTTGGTGTTTTGTTGTCATTGTCGTATTCAAACGGGCACGTGAGCGGGGGGCACGCAGGAGAAAGGCCACACAGAAGAGTGTTTTTTTTTCTCTCCACCGTTCCACGCACCCCGGTGTTTGCCATCAGGGTTGGGTTTTCGTCGCCTGGGAACGACTTTGTAAAACAAGCCCCCCCCCTCGGTGTTTGCCCCCCTGCCATCGGGGTTGGGTTTTCGTCGCTTGGCAACGACGTTGTAAAACAAGCC